CCTTCACCTTCCTCCCCCACACCCTGTGCTGAGACCTGCGGCAGCCGTCCTGTGGCTCCTGCTGGTTGCTGAATTCAGGCGTGAGGGGACCCCTCAGACCAGCTGAGGCTGCTGGGAGCCATAGATGGGGCGTGGATAAAATTCTTGATTCACGTTACTTTCACTTTTGCAGAAGCTTCACTCCCTTGCCCTGTCTTGGGTTCACCCGTATGTTTTCTGCTCGCTGTTTCCCCCTCCCTGGGGAAGGTCTGACGGTAGCAACAGCACCTTTTGACTAAAAAAAACCACCCCATATTCAGCACAAAACTGTCCTCTAACTAAAGTGCAATCACTGAGAAGTCTGCAAAGCAAGAATTGAAGCAGAGAAGTGCCAACAGCCCCTGGGGTATGCCTTTTACAGAGATGTAGCTTTCCACGTTTGTGTCTAACCAAAATAGTTCTGTGTTTTGTTTTTCCTTCCTGCTGCTGGTCTTCTAGGAAGAGGAGTAACAATAATGTCTGTACTAGAAATGCTTGCAAAGTTTAAATATTTTAAACTTTTTTTTTCCAATATGTTTTAGCATCTTGATCCCATAACAGTTAAGAGCAGCCTTTCTGTAGACTTAGCTGTGCGTCCAGTCTGGCTGCTGATACGAACCGGGGTGCTCTGTTTGTCCTTGAGGTTATTTGCAGAGGAGGTATCTGCAGGCCCTGGAAAAATCAGTCAGCTTGATGTCGGCGTTAAGAATGCACTCCTCTCAAAAAGCTGCAGGAATAGGATGGGGAGAGTGGCTGGGTTCACCCATCATAATATGTCAGTTTACATATTTAATGCGGTATGTTCAGCCCTGTGGAATCCACTTTTGAATCACAGACTTAAGGAACAAAGATCGTTCTCATTGGAAGATCTTTGTTGTCGCCAATACGTACAAGTTCAGTTCACATTCACGCCAGTTCAGTTCACATTCACAAAGTTGCTTCATCTCTGTATTCTAGGTGAAGATATTTGCTCCCAATATTGAGCAAAGGGATGTAGTCAATCACCTAAAAGGAAGTCCAGCAGAAGAGAAGAGAAATGTGTTAGTCGAAAGTGCCAGATTGGCAAGAGGAAACATTCAGGATTTGGCTGAACTGAAAGCCAGCGAATTTGACGCAGTCATTTTCCCTGGTAGGTGCTTTTAGAAGAAAATTAGTTGTGGTTTTTCAGTTGCAAATAACTGCTTTGCCTTTGATGTTTTTTTTAAAATCCATTTAGAGAATAAATTACACTCTTGCATTTGAGATGTACATGTTTGGGTTTTTTTAAAACTTACTTTCTTTAAAGGATGAGAAAATGTTTTATTAAGCTGTCATGGGCTGAAAAGTCATCTCAGTTTATTTATTAATTTATAGTTTATTAACTTAAAATGCCAACATGTTCTTTTGGTGTTATTTATCACGCCATTCATTCTTTTTAAAGTTTGTGAAAACTCCGGTGCCTACTTGTTGATAACAACACTGACAAGAGAAAAAAGTAAGGCCAGGACTTGACAGTATATGGCAATTTCTTAATTTTAGGGTCTCTTAAATTGTTCCCAGAATAGCAGGTTGATAAACAGATTATATTCCATCGTTTAATTCTGTATCTGGTCTGCTGCTGGTCAAGTTATACTGAACATGTTTATGTATTATGTTTTATTTGTAGACCACAAAATTGCTTTTCAGATGGATGTAATTGTAGTCACTTTAAAAATGAAGAGACCAAAGCACCACGAGGGAATTATAACCTACTGAAGATCACTTTGCAGCACGTTCAGAGAACTGGTTAAATACTGCTGTTAACGACTGTGCCTAAGCCTTCAAGTTTTTACACTGTCTTCTGTTGTAAGGCCAGCAGAGGGAGTGCGTGTATAACGCAGAGAAACACTTCCAGCGCTAAAACCAGTGGGTGACATCAGGAATGATGAGGGAATAGAGGCTAGCAAATATTTTCCAAGTTAATTTCATGCCGTTATGACCCAGGCTTAGGGCGGGCTGCTGAAATAACCGTTAGAGGGAAATAAACCCTATTAAGTTTGAAAATTAAAATCGTACCTCCGAGGTTCCAGATAACACTTGGAAGCGAGCAGTGAAAGGAAAGATACTAAAAATGCAAAGCTTCTTGATGTTGACCGTTGAAATGCTTGTGAAACTTTCTGTTTGTTTGTTGTAGAAGAGTTGATATTGTGCACACTCCTTAAGGAATCAAATGTAATGCGTGATTATGCTTACTAATTGTCTTAATTTGATCATTCTGATGGTTATAAATCCAGCTAACAAAGGTTAAAATATAATAATACAATATAATATATATAATGCAAAATATAATCTGCTTGTACAAATAAATACAAGTAAAGGGTTGTTATTACTAATTTCTAGAAAGACAAATTCAGCTTAATTTTTAATAGGAAGTTATGTTATCCTTCACAAACGGCATGTGCCAGAATGTCATGTTATCAATTCCTTTTTATGTAACATCAATTTTTTCTTAGTCTTGTTAACTTTTTTTTTAAGGCCAAAGAGAATTTCAGATGAGGAAAAAGCTCTTCTGTAATTGTTTTAAGTATTGATTAAAACTTGAGAGTGAAATTACTGTAGGGGGTCAAACTGCTATTGTGTTACTCCTGTGAACTGCATTCTCTAATTCTAACTATCGTTGGCTTTTCTTCTAATCCCTCTCTTGCTTATCAAGTGGTGCAAATCAGATGATGCAGCTTTTCCAGTTGCTAGCAAATGAATGTAAGGTTTCCTCTTCCTCGCTTTGGTACTCATTTAAGCAAGATTAAGCTTTCTGGCTTGTGGAATATATAAAAATGTGGTATAAAAAATCTGCAGGTAAACCTATAGCATTGCAAAGCCATCATGTTTCATGCACTGAACTCTTTCAGGGTAGTAACTTAGCAGTCCTACATATGCCATGATTAAAGTGTAAAAAAGGAGAACTTTCTCATATTGAATTTAATGACTTTTAGCAGTGCCTTACGTTTGAGCTTCTATCTTCTTTTTTTTTTTTTCTTTTTCTTTTTTTCAGGTGGTTTTGGTGTAGCAAAGAACTTGTGTTCCTGGGCTGTAGATGGCAAGAACTGTACTGTTAATGAGCATGTGAACACCACACTCCAGGCTTTCCACAGTGCTAAAAAACCTATTGGTTTGTGCTGTATATCGCCAGTTCTGGCAGCTAAAGTCTTTCCTGGCTGTGAGGTTACCGTCGGCCAAGATAAAAACATAGATGGAAGGTAAGAAGGAAATAGGTGGAGATAATTTACAGGAGAATTAGGAAATGGCCAGTTTTTCTCTGCAAAAGTCTGAAGTTTCTGATGTGAGTCACCCTGGGATTACATACTAATGACATTTTTCACTTATTTTGAATTTGCACTTGCGTCATAGTAGTAGGCACAGAGCTCTCACGGTGGACAGATGGTACCCATGAGGTCAGGTGACTCGTGCGCTACAACATTGGAACAATTTAGCCCTAAATTCAGAAATACATTGGTCTGTGATATGTCCTACCATATCATCATCCACACACACATTACAGTTAAGAGTCTGAAAGCTCTCGGTAGCCTTATCTCTTGCCTAAGCTGTCACTCTCTTGGACGACAAAGGTGACACAGGTTCCTGCACTGGCGTTATTGTGCGACATGGGTGCCATTGAGTCATGGGATGTAGCATCTGTCAGTCCTAAAAGCAAGAGCAAAAAGTGACTTTTGTAGAATCATAGCTGCACAAACACTTAAGTGACCAAGGGTATCAAGTTATTTTTTTCACTTTGCATTCATGGTAACTGAGTGGTAGGTTGTGGCTCATACTGAGTGAGTATTACAGAGAGAGAGACTTCACTGCAAGGTTCTAACTAGCAGTTTATTTGAACTTCGCTCACAGATCCAATATGTTACTACTGCAGGTTTTATGGATACAACAGAAGAATGTACTATTTAAAAGGCAGTACACAGGATACACTGTTGCAAAACGAGATGATTCCCAGAAATGTACTAGTAAAAATTAAAAGCACGCTAGATATTAATACCTGAATCACAATCTTAAAGTGTGCCAAATACTACTTGTGTTTTTCTTAATGACTTACCCTGTCTCAGGTAAGGGTTCTCAGTTCCAAGTGGAAATACCCTCATCCGACGTCTTGAATAAGGGGGGAAGAATCTTCTACAGCCCAGCTGTATTGTTGTCAAAACCACCAAATTCTGCCCAAAATCTTTTATCCTATAAGGATAGGATAGAGGGGCAGAGGCATACCTGAGGACACTTGACTATCTGGAATGTTTTTCTTTGGTGGAGTGATGGGGTTTCCCCTTATCTTTCCATGAGTGCATCCTACTGGTTTTGCTAATTTTGTGATACCTAGCACAGAAATGATTTACTAAGCCAAATTAACATATTTAAATTGATGGTGGTTGAAATGAGGCTTGGAGCAAAATGTTTGTTATTTGGGTTCCATTCAGGTTTTGATTCTTTGTCTCCTGTTTCATTTTGGATACCTCAGAGCTGGGTCATTTTTCATAACCCTCCATGGGTGACCCACAGATAAAGGCAAGACAGAGCTGAGCTGAATTAACACCTCCCTGCATCTCACCTTGTTCATCAAAACCTCTTCCATGGTGAAGATACAGAATTTGCTCACCCAATGCCTTCAGAGGCCACAATTCATATTGCAAATGTGCAAATGAAGAATAGGGACTTGGCATTCAGAAAGTCAGCACCTTGTGGTAATTTCAGTGGCCATTTACATTCCATCTGTGGGCTTTTTTTTTTTTTTGCTCAAGGATTTTTAATAAAGCTTTTCTGATGGTGGTGGTCTGGAGCCAGTTTAGGGGAGGCAGATGAGAGCAGAGCTTGGCAGAAGTCAGTGGCTGCTTCAAGAACTGTTAACTACCAATAAGGCTTCTGGATGAAATTTCATGGCAGCAGCAGTAGTGAGGAATTGCCTTTGTTCAGGGGAAAGAAAAAATATATTTCTACTGGATCCCAGTGGAAGACCTTACGTGGAGGTTCTGGAAAAGGTCTAACGTGTCCACAAGTTCAGCTGCCGTCTCTCAGACTTTATAGAATCAGTTATGGTTGCATGTGGTGTCGCCTTGTAAACTTATTGAAAGATTGTTAAAGCCAGAATTGTACCTTCTGACATACCATGGCTCTGCATTTCAGACCTTGCTTTCAAAGGAATGGGATCACTTGTTGTGCCTGTAAGGGGTGGGAAAATCTGACAGCAGCAGTCAGAGTATCTTATCATCAGCAGCTGAAGAGTCACTTAAATATTATTGTAGTTTTTTCATTCAAATTGCGTTGGCAGAACTTCATGGCTGTATCACCTCTTTATATTAATTGCTATCTTTTTATTTACAGATTTCCTGATGCTGAAACAGCATCTGCTATAGCAGAGCTTGGTTGTAAGCACATTTGCAAAAATGTAAATGAATCCCATGTGGATAAAGCTAATAAAATAGTTACTACCTGTGCTTTCATGTGCAAGGCTCCTCTGCATGAAATCTTTGATGGAATTGGAACAATGGTACAAGAAGTCCTGAAACTTGCCTAACTGGAAGCGTATAGACCTCTGCAAGGAAACCAGTTTAGCTAAACATAAGCATTTAGTTTCATTTGATTGTATTAATAAAATAATGCAATTGCTAAACCTCACAGTTCTTGTTCTGATTTTTTTTTTAAATCTGTAATTCATCAAATATTTATTGCTAAATTTATCCTCTTTGTTTCTCTTTTTAAATAGAAAGCCCCTGTTGAAGGTTGTGGGGATGGTGGAGGGGTTCCCCTTTTTTTCTCTCCTGAATCTGAATATGTTCAGTCTTGATAAGATAATATAGGAATCCTCCTTGTCCAGTGGGGTGTTACCACATCACTAAAGATTAGCAGTAGTTTACATTTCGTGTTACCCATCTATAATTACAGATGAAATAGCTGTAAATGAGTCTATATGCCTTCAGTATATGCAATTCAGTTTTAGTTTCTAAACACAAGGGAAAAATAAAAGAATGTGGTCATTTGGGTGTTTGTTTTATTTCCCTTCACTTGCAAGTCTTTAAGCAAGTATAACTAATGGACTTCTGAAATTTTTGCCGAGCCCCCTGGATAAACCAACTTTATAAATCCAGAGTCAGTGGCCTAAGTACAAATGAATACATTGTATGTGGAAAATACAAACATTTTATAGTAAATAATTTGATATTTAGTCAGCAAAATGAATTAGCTTTATTCTGTGATTTTTTGCATACATAGCTCAGTGCCCTAAGAAAGGTACATTTTATATATGTTGGAACACATGCTTTGATCTTGCAAATGTGAGCAAAGTTCATCAGATGCTCTTAGAAGCACGATCTGGCAAGGCTTTCTTCTCCTGATGGAACTAAAAATTCCCACAATTTGTTATCCAGGTAAGTTGATTGTCACTGTGGACATCAATTGTCTCACCGTAAGAAGTGTTACGGTGCTCAGAGGTCTCTGTCAGTCATAATGGGTACACTGCAGCTCATGCTTTGCAGTGCCTGAAGTAACCTAAGCATGTTGTCACTACATACTGCTCATCGTGTCTTGCTGAGCAAACACCTTGATAAGTGGAGCGGGAATACAGCAGGAACAAACCTGGACCACAGAGTGGCCAAAAGATGGAACTGGGAAATCATGCTTTTTTGATGAGGAGCGTTGAGTTACTCCCCTTGATGAGCAACTGCTGTGATCTGGAAGGGCAATAACCTTTACTTCCTCAGTGCAAGCGTTACCATGAAGCCTGACATGTTGCAGAGAATTAAGTGCTACTACTCCGTGTGCTGCATTTATTTTAGCACAAATGTCAAAGCTCTGATGTAACGGGTGGCCTCTTCAGGAGGCCTTAGAGCTAAATCTACAGCAGTAAATAGATAAAGGCTTTTATTCTCTGTCCAGAATAATTTATTCTCCCTCCAGAATTCAGATTTCCTTTATGGAGTTATTTAGCAAAACCAGGACATGCAGATGTGTTTTGGCAGAAGAGAAGCAAAGTGTGTCACGGACAAGCAGCGCTCTGCCTCTAGAGGTATGAAGATATTTGATGTTGACTGTGCCAGCACAGGGTCTTTGATTCAGCCTGACTGAGCACTGCATGTCGTTGCTAAATTATTTTCTTAGTGAAAACCCACAATATTAGACTGAGCATGACTCTCGTGTTACAGGAGTCCTATTTAAAAGTGCTGGAGTTGCTAAATAAGAGTTTGTCCAGAATTTTGCCCTTGCTCTGAGAACAGTGGGAACCTTCAAAGAAAGCACAGATTATCCGCAAGTGCTCTACCTGACTGTCCTGATAAAAATGTACCTAGCACAGAACAGTCCTCTATTTTTTCCAGGTTGTACACTGTCTCTAGAATGCCTTCTGTGGCTTCTGCAGGCAGGATGCCGGAGGCATTGGATTGGAACTTTTTCTCCAAGTCCTCCTTTTTCAGAGGTTTCCTCCAGTGTCCGTAGAATGTGTCACAGCGGTCACTGACCCTGTTGCCATCCCGAAGCATGACGCTTACTTCGCAGTAAAGACTCTCGAAGCTAGGTGTGTTGTCAGGAGGGTGCTCCAGCTGTGTTTTGCTGAGGAGCTCCTGCAAGGCTGGCCGGTGAACATTCTCACTGGTGAAGGACTGGACTGACATGCTGCCATCCAGCAAAGCAGAGCACGCGACAAACTGGAAGGAGTGTCGAGCTTCATGCTCGGAGGTAGGGCTGGGTCTGTTCACGTATTTGACCTCTGGGACTCTGAGAATGACTTTCTCGATTTTGTCAAGGGGAAGCAAGTTGCCACTGCTCTCCACAAGCTTCCTCCGAACAGAAGATGCTGCGTCAGCCACCCAATGTGTTCCAAGATGAGCAGGGAAGCGTTTGATGGCCACATCTTGCTGGTCCAACAGCCAGGGATAGGACTGCAATGTTGGCAGGGTCTGTGGGTTATAATCTGTATAAAAGGCCCCTATCCCTGACTCCATGTCCAAGATCTGTTTGTTTCCTTGAAGACCCTGTGATGCTAAGAAAGCTGCTTCCAGTCCGTGTTTGGCAGCATTACCAATGTGGAGGGGCTTCGTTTGGGTGGCTGCATTAGCCAGAGGGGCACCTGCGTAGGAGGCAGCAATAGCCAGGGCATTTTTACATTTCACCTGGTCAAGAGCTAGCAGTTTAGCACAAGCCGCTGCACTTCCCATCGTACCAACCACAGTCGGTGGATGAAACCTGAGAAAACAAAATTTCGTCATTGCTACGTTTCAAAAAGTCACCTGAATTCATTATATACCTAAGTTCCAACTTCCTTTCACTGCTGTAGAAGACAGATTGAACCATAAAAAGACATATATTCAGAATTGACATGTGGTCCTAACAGGAAAAGTTGTAGTTTTTCCCCAGAAACAATTTAAATTGGAATAGTACCACTTACAACAGGTCTTCCCCACAAAGCAGTTGAAACATTAGAACTGCTCATAGTTCAAGGCATTCTGAGCAGAACATTGGCAAAAATATCGCAGTTTATGGTCATCTATAAATTATCTGTGAATAGTTTATAGCCGACTATAAACCATACATATTGGGGAAGGCAAGTCTTGCTGTTCTGAACTAGTTTTGCAAAACTGGCAGGAGGAACCACACAGAAAATAACAAGAGGGCATCTAGTTCATCCCACACCTCAAGGCTTTCCCTAAGCACACCACATCTTCTTGGGCTCTTCTCTGAGGCCAGCACCGGTGAATCCTTTCTTTCCAGAGCAGCCAGTATTTGCAAGTGAGGCGTGGTTCTAGGTATTCATGAAAACCTGACACCTCTGCTCCTAAATGTTGCCCTTTTGCTGCTGATTTTTGGTAAACAGGGAGATCATCAACTCCTTCTTGTACACTGATCAACGCCCTCAAAAAGAAATCTGTTAGCTAAGTCATAAGGAATTGTGTAAGTGCATTTATCTTTAGGATGAACCTCTCCTAAATTTCCAGATGAACAACGCAGAAAATATGATTAACTGTGCCATTTGTATTTTAACTGGTATTTAATTAAGTACACTAACGCCAACAAAAAAGCACTTTCAGCACAACTTTCTACTTGAAACAATTTTTCTGTACCTTTTTGGAATATTCCTGGCTTCACTGGAGAAATGCAGCAGCCTGCCTTGCACTTCGATTCCCACATTGAAAGCCAAGAGCAGATCAAGACCTGAGATTTTTTTCTTCTGAGGAAAGGCCTCTGAGAGTGCAATCACAGCAGGGAGCACAGCTCCGGATGGATGTGTGGCTGGATGCCATGTGTCATCAAAATCCATTGAGTGCACCTAGTGGAAAGAGAAACCTTGACTTGTCATCAAATATAAACTTTCACTTGGCAAGACTGGTTTAATCAAATGAGACTACTGTAACTGATATAAAAAAGGACCAGACAACTAGATTTTCTTTATAGAGCAGAACTTCAAAAGCCTTTCTTTTAAGCAAGTCTTTCTTTTAAGACCTTTACTCCCAACATGGTTCAGTGAGAAGTGGCAGCTCAATACAAATTTTTTTTATTCTAATTCAGTTGCAGCAGTCTAGAACCAGTGTGACAACAAATCTTCTTTCCTGCCATAGGCTTTTGCTGCTTTAATTAAACTGGTATAATTAAAGTAGCAGTTCTAGGTCTGCCGTCTGAACAGTGAATTTTCACTTCCTCCGAAACAGTACATAAGCATAATGAAATTACTTCTCCAGTGCTGCAACTGGTGCTGCTATTGAGGCTCACACCATTAAAGCTGTAGCAATCAAATCCATTCAACTAACTGGCGGGTGTGTCAGAACAACTTGTCCGGTGGAACTAGCCATGGGCAACAGGAACAAGCCTGCAGATGTAGCTCAGACTTGAGCTGGAGCTCCGTAATTCTGTGAATATGGAATTCTGAGGTCTGCATTTCCAAACAGACAGAAGAAAACCCGGTCCCTGCCTTGAAAACCTTTGATGCCAGCTGGGAGGATGCCCTAGTGCAGGCTAAGGAAAGTTGTGCCCAATACCTGGCAAGCTGCATCCTTGGCATCTTCAATGAGCGCTTAGAATTGACCTGTGACTGAGACGTAAACTGAAATGATCATATACATGCTAACAGCCAGCTATGAATATCACAAAGGCTTCTGAGGGCTGAGAGGTACAGGACTCTTTTCCAAGGTATTTTTCTCTACATTGGAAATTAGACGATAAACAAGACCCCTGGTCTTGTCATTTCCTTGGTTGGTCACCTGCCTTAGTTTTGCATGATTCTCAAATTTGTCTACCACTCCTTTTGGGCATCTTTTTGTTTCAAATGGTTTTAGCCTCAATCTGAATTTAGACAAATGTCTAGAGAGTCAGGTATCGCTTTAATGACAAATTATGTGTCCAAAATACATAATTGGCTTTTGCAAAATGCATAACTGAAGAATAAATTACCTTATGATATTATATATGTGTATGTATTCATACATCTGTCTGTATTTATGTTTTTCTTTATGCTTTGCTAGCGGGCATAAAATTTGGATTTCAGTGAAATCAGTGAGAGCTAGAATACCTCTTTGTAATGCGGCTGCAGCAAGCTTGTAACAAACTGTTGAGTTCTGACCTTTGAAAGTAGCTCCAAATCCCACATTAAAAGTAAGGGATGTTGTTGAGTTGGATCAGATATATATTATACTTCAAG